AATGCTCGGCGCTTTGACCCCTACAGCAATACATATAATGAGGGGTGGCGCCAGCATCCCAATTTCTCTTGGAATAGCAACACCACTAAACCCCCTGGTTTCCCTGCACCAGCTAGTGGTTTTCAGCAGAGGCAGCCTTTCCAGGCTAGACAGGGGCCAGCCCCACAGCAGCAGCCCTACCAGCCTAGGCAGGGGCAACCATTCCAGCAGCCCCAGCGTCAGTATGCCGAGCCAGTAGCAGCTCCGGCTCTAGATAATCAGATGACAAAGCTGGAAAATATTCTAGCTTCATTCATGACTTCCACTCAAGCAACTGTCACGAGGTTGGAGGCAGGTCAGAGGAACCAGGGTGCCATTTTCCAAGATCTGCAGAACCAGATGGGTAGCTTGGCTCGCCAAAACACTACCAGGGCACCGGGGACTCTGCCTGCCACCACTATTCCAAATCCTCGTGAGCCTCACCAGCACCAGCAGCTAGATGCCATCACTACCAGGAGTGGCAAGACCACATCTGCTGCTCCTGCCCAGCCCAGTCGAGATGAGCCACTACCTACTTCAACACTTCCAGCTGATAATGCAGAAGTGGGGGGAGACAAAGAAACACCTGCTCCCAAACCACAGCCAGTGGTTAAGGAGCATGTACCTCAGCTTCCTTTCCCCACTCGCCTACATAAAGACAAGCTGGAGACTGAGTTTGCCAAGTTCATGGCAATGTTGAAGCAGGTCAACATCAGAATGCCGTTCGTGGAGGCACTGTCAAAGATGCCCAAGTATGCCAAGTTCATGAAGGATCTCGTCACCAACAAGAAGAAACTTGGGGATCTTTCGACAGTGATGCTGAGCGAGGAGTGTTCTGCTATCCTACAGAACAAGCTGCCCGAGAAGCGAAAAGACCCAAGGAGTTTCACTATCCCTCTTGTTATTGGCAGCATGCATGTAGGAAAGTCCTTGGCGGACCTAGGCGCTAGCATAAATGTCATGCCTTACAAATTGTTTAAGAAGCTAGACCTAGGTGAACCTAGAGCTACTAGGATGAGCATTCAGTTAGCTGATTGTTCTATCGTGCATCCTAGGGGTATCATTGAGGATTTGCTTGTTAATATGGGTGCATTCACATATCCTGTTGACTTTGTTATTTTGGATATAAATGAGGATGTGGATGTACCTTTGATTTTGGGTAGACCGTTTCTCGCCACCGCCAAGGCGCTTATTGATGTGCATAGTGGTAAATTGATTCTGCGTGCTGGTGATGAACAGGCTACTTTCTCTGTGTCTGAGAATGGGAAACACTCTCATTTGCATGATGACATAGATTATTGTGATGTGCTTGCTGATTTTGAGACCGCAATCGCTATAACGAGTGCGGGTACTGACGATGCTCTTGAGCGTTGTATTTTGCTAGGTGAGTAGGCATCGCAGGAGCCTCAGCTGGCGGAGCAGTTGGCCGAGTTGGAGAGTGGCACATCCCTGGAGGGCGACCGGCTGTTCAAACCGATCTCATCCTCACCCCGCATCACTACCTCCTTGGAGGAACCACCAGATCTGGAGCTTAAGCCCCTCCCCCCTCATTTGGAGTATGCATTTCTCCGGGAGGGAAATAAGCTTCTAGTCATCATCAGCTCGACCCTCACGCCCGAGCTGAAGAACAGACTAGTGGCCTTGTTGCAGCGGTACGAGCGAACCCTAGCATGGAAGATCACAGATATCCGGGGGATCAGCCCTTCCTTCTGCTCCCACCGGATACTGATGGAGGATGAGATGCGGCCAGTGAGACAGCCGCAGAGAAGACTGACACCGAACCTGGAGGCTGTGGTTCGGGCAGAGATCGTGAAGCTGCTGGACGCGGGGATCATCTTCGCCATTTCCGACAGCGAGTGGGTCAGTCCCACCCAGGTGCTACCCAAAAAGGGTGGGATGACTATGGTGCCTAACGAGGAGAATGAGCTGATCCCGATGCGCACGGTGAGTGGGTACCGTGTCTGCATTGATTACCGGCGTCTCAACGACGCCACTCGGAAGGACCACTTCCCGCTGCCATTCATTGACCAGATGCTGGAGAGACTGGCGGGGCACGAGTTCTACTGTTTCCTGGATGGGATGTCCGGGTACTTCCAGATCCCTATTGCACCGGAGGACCAGGCGAAGACCACTTTCACCTGCCCCTTCAGCACATTTGCCTACCGGAGGATTCCATTCGGGCTATGCCATGCCCCGGCCACTTTTCAACGATGCATGCTCGCCATCTTTGACCGTCTGGTCGGCGAGATTATGGAGGAGTTTATGGACGATTTCTCGGTTTATGGAGACCCATTCTCTCACTGTCTCCATAACCTGGAGCTTGTCCTTAAACGGTGTGAAGAAACGAACCTGGCACTGAGTTGGCAGAAGTGTCATTTCATGGTTCGAGAAGGTATAGTTCTTGGGCATAAGATCTCCAAGATGGGGATTGAGTTGGACAGAGCGAAGATCGAGACTATCAGCAAGCTGCCTCCTCCTACATCTGTTAAGGGGATCCAGAGTTTTTTAGGCCATGCAGGGTTCGACAGGCGGTTCATCAAGGATTTCTCGAAGATCGCCCTGCCCCTGACTAAGATTCTAGAGAAGGATGCCCCCTTCCAGTTCACTGATGCATGCACAGCGGCGTTTACAACCTTGAAGGAGAAGCTCACCCAAGCTCCTATCATGGTTGTTCCTGACTGGTCCCTACCATTTGAGCTGATGTGCGACGCCAGTGACTTTGCTGTTGGAGCTGTCTTGGGGCAGAGGCGAGATCAACACTTCCGACCTATATACTACGCCTCGAAGACCCTGAATGATGCCCAGGAGAACTATACCACCACGGAGAAGGAGTTGCTCGCAGTGGTGTTTGCCTTCGACAAATTTCATCCTTATCTGGTCTTGTCCCATGTGAACGTGTATACGGATCACTCCGCGATTCGATACCTGATGAGCAAGGCCGATGCCAAGCCTAGGCTCATACGATGGATCTTACTGTTGCAGGGGTTTGACATTGAGATTCGGGACAAGAAGGGAGCGTAGAATGTTGCAGCCGATCACCTCTCCCGGTTGGACGCACCCCCTGCGGACAACCTCGACGAGGAGATCAACGACTCCTTCCCAGATGAGAGACTAATGATGATGTGCCTGGTGGAGAGTGTCACCCCCTGGTACTCCGATTTTGCGAACTATCTAGTGGGCCAGCAGCTGCCCAAGGGGATGACAACCCACGCCAAGAGGAAATTTTTCTCCGACCTGAAGCACTACTTCTGGGATGACCCTCATCTCTTCAGGATCGGAGCCGACGGGATAATCCGTCGATGTGTTATGGAGAGTGAGATGGAGGGCATTTTATCTCACTGTCATGAAGGACCTACTGGCGGTCACCACGGACAAAACCGCACAGCGAGGAAGGTGCTACAGTCGGGCTTCTACTGGCCCACGCTCTTCAAGGACGCAGACACCTTCGCACGCAGGTGCGACCGATTGCAGAGGTCAGGTAACATCTCTGCCCGTGATGAGATGCCACAGAATGTGTTTATAACTAGTGAAATTTTTTATGTCTGGGGTATCGACTTCATGGGCCCCTTCCCTCCATCTTTTGGTAATACCCATATCCTTGTTGCTGTTGACTACGTCTCTAGGTGGGCTGAGGCGCAAGCTTTGCCCACTAATGATGCTAGACGTGTTTGTGGTTTTCTGAAGCAGCTATTCTCCCGGTTCGGGACACCTAGAGCCATCATAAGCGACCGAGGCACCCATTTCCAGGGCCAGTTCGATAAGTTGCTGTCTTGCTATGGTGTAACTCATAAGGTGTCCGTGGCCTACCATCCTCAAACAAGTGGCCAGGCCGAGCTGACGAACCGGGAGCTCAAGCGCATCCTGGAGAAGACGGTGAATCTATCCCGCAAGGATTGGTCCACCAAGCTCGATGATGCTCTATGGGCATACCACACTGCCTACAAGACGCCCATTGGTACCTCACCGTACTGGCTTGTCTATGGAAAGGCATGCCATTTGCCCGTAGAGCTAGAGCACAAGGCCTTCTGGGCCCTTAAGCTGCTAAACTTGGATGTTAGTGTTGCAGGTGTTGAGCGCAAAATGCAGATGCTGGAGCTGGAGGAGTGGCGTTATCACGCCTATGAGACCACCAAGCTATACAAGGAGCGCACTAAGCGTCTGCACGATGCACGGTTGCGGGGTCCGAAAGAGTTCCAGGTTGGTGATCGAGTTCTCCTTTATAACTCTCGCCTGAAGCTCTTTCCCGGAAAACTCCATTCCCGGTGGTCTGGACCGTACACTGTCACACAGGTGTTCTCGTATGGCACGATCGAGATTGCCAACCCGCAGACTGAACCATTTAAAGTGAATGGCCATCGTCTCAAACTCTACTTGGGAGGCGAGGTTGAATGTGCGGAGTTGGCAGTGAACTTCGTGGACCCTTAGTTCCGCCATGGGCGTCCAGCTAAAAGACGGTAAAGAAGCGCTTGTGGGGAAGCAACTCCACCAAGGTTTGCATTTCTACCCTTTGTTTTTTTTATGTATTTCATTTTTTTGTCGGTTTCTGAGTCTTGGAGGCTGTCTGGAGTCTCTCTGGAAAGTATTTCGTGCCTCGGGCGGATCTTTTTAATGTGTGATTGGGTAAATTTTAGAGCCGGGGCACGAATGAGTCTTGGTGGTTTGAAATTGGAATTTTGAAAAAAGGCAGATTGGGCTCGGCACTAAAAGCACGGGCGCCAGGGGAGGAAAACACGGCCGTGTTTTCCCTCCTGCCCGCCCACGTTTCAATATTTGGCCTGCACTGCTCGCGGCAGTAAAAACACAGGCGCTGGGCTTCCAAAACACGGTCGTGTTTTGGCCACAGCCCGCCCGTGTTTTCAAAGGGGGGAAACACGGTCGCGGCAGTAAAAACACGGGCGCGGAACACGCCGAACACGGCCGTGTTCCAGCCCGCCCGTATTTTGCCCTCCCCCTATAAAAGTCGATTTTCAGCCCCCCCCTCCCACCAGATTCATTTTTTCAAAATCCTCACCGCCTCTCTCGCCGGAAACTCGGCCTTTTCCTCTTCTCCGTCGATTTTCCGGCCATAACTCCCTCTCCCGACCTCCAAATCACAAACCGCGACCGCCCCCACGCTCCTGGCGTCGAGGAGCACAATCCCCAGAGATATCAAAGCCGACCACACCTTCCCACATCCCAAACTGAGCTTTGAAGAGGCGGACATGAGTGAGGAGATGCAAGAAGATCTCATGAAAGAAATTGCTTGGCAACTTGCTCTCCAATCCGTGCTAGAAGAAGAAGAGCAAGAAAGGGTGCAGAAAGAAGTTGTGGAGGATGACGAAAGTGAAGCAGGAGGAGTTCTTGATCATTTCCCAGGGGTGATACCACATGAACAAGGAAGGGAGGTTGAAGAACCAATTGGCGTCCAGGCTGAGGATTGAGGTGGAAGAGGCTTGCACCGGCCATGAGTTACATTTGATATCTCCACCAAACTTCGAGGAACTACTTAGCAAGGATCCCCTTGCAGTGTCTCTTTGCCATACCAAGGTCATGTCGACATCAGTCCCTCTCGGTGGACGCGATGGTGGTCAATCAATGTTGTCATATCTGGTTTGGGGCAATGAGACGAGAGAAGAGAAGAAGTCTCGAGGGTGGAGAATTCATCCGCATCAAGTGCACGAGCTTCCATCACCTGTCATACCACATGCTCGTGACTTGAGACTTCACCTCATTGACGAGAACCTCAACTTCAAAGAGGTTTTGAGGTGGACCGAAACTTAGGAGCCATCGTCCGGCTCACGACAAATAAGCGCTTGTTGGGAGGCAACCCAACCAGTCGGTTTGCATTTCTTTCTATTTTTCTCCTCGGTTGAGTCAGTTTTGTTATTTGATTTTAGAGTCAATAACTCAACCTTTGTGAGATTTTGTGTGGTGTTTGTGGTTTGACCACTCTCTCCTCCTGGAATACACCGCCTGCCTCGTCCACCATCATTCACCCTGGATCTGGTAACTTCGTTCTACCCTCCTTATCTTTCCTCCATTGAGGACAATGTCGTGCTTAAGTGTGGGGGGATGTTCGATTATGTATGCGGGTGAATGTTTGGCTGTTTGTGTGCTTGGAGCCTAGTCCACTGTCCAAATTTTTAAATTTGAGGGCTCCAAGTACGTGTTTCCTTGCAAATTGCCTGCTCAGTATGCTTTGAATTGACAGTCTCTATAGTAATGTGAAACCTAGGGAGGTAGTGTAGCACTATGGAGGATGTTGAAGTATAAGATTTTTCCTATCTAGCTCTCTGCTGTGCCCGTTGATTTTGTGAATTAGTGGAGCTAAGACCGTTGAATTCATGTGGTAATGGTGACTATATTTGGATTGTGTTATGGACTCGTGTATCGAACAGGGTGCTCATGTGAAAAATGAAAAGCAGTTGGTCCTCCATGTCAAAATCATAAAATCTTAAACATGGGGTAAGCCCAACGTGTGCGGCACCGTTCATTGCACCAAATCGGGTTTTGGAAGAGATTTTAGTGATCCTTAGTGGGGTACTCCTACAAGGTGAAGCTAAGCTGTCTCTAGTACATGTAAAACTTCCACCCGTTGAACGGTTTGCCTACTTGAGGATGTGTTTTTAAGGGCACGGATAGAGCTTCCGACCCCCCTTAATTTCATTGACCCTCCACATGAGTTGAGGAAAAGGAGTTAAAAGAAGTACTCTGGCGAGCGCCAGGTGTACAGAAATTGCTCTTGCTCGACTAATAAGGGTCGACCGTGCAAAAGACTGCAGTTGGAACCCCCGCCAAGTGAATGAAATAAGAAAAAAAATAAAGTAAAATGAAAGCGAAAAAGGGGCTCCAACGGTGAAATGAAGTGAAAGAGCACCTCGGTACAACGAGTCTTTGGTTGTGAATGATGTGAGTCCCTTTATCCATGAACTGACTGTCTTAATTCTACTTCTTCTCATGATCCTGACTTGAGTCTAGTACTCGCATTGAGAGAGATAGGGAACATCTTAGAAGACCAGTTGACCTCGTAAGCTGCTATATGATCTAGGAAATCCTCTACCGATGATCGGGGTTGTATGTTGCTATAGAGGTCTGGAGAGCTTCATTGGTTTGAGTTAGGTTTGCTTGGGGACAAGCAAACGGTTAAGTGTGAGGGATTTGATGACTCGATATTTGCACATGTTTTCCCCATTGTTTCTTGATCGTTTGAGATTTAATTATTGCGTCTTTGGCCTATTTTACGCTAGGTTGTGTTCCTTCGTCACATTACAGGTCCTAGCACATAAAGTGAAGCATATGCGCAAGTTTCAAGTCAATCAGAGATCAAATGGCGATTAGGGAGAAGAAACTCGGGCATGACCTGAAGAAGAATGGATTTCTACCTCACTTTATGGACAAAGAATCATGCAATCTTGTCATTAAAAGAAAGAGGACAAGACTACAAGCGTGTGGGATCAAACGGCGATTGATTCGGAGTCCGGACGAGGGAGAAACGAAGCATTGAATATAGGGGAACAAGTTCGGCAGTAAAAACACGGGCGCGCCTAAATCAAAACACGGCCGTGCCCATATTTAGGCACGACCGTGTTTTGGCCGACGCGCGCGGGCGTGTCTTTAACACGGGGCAAAACACGGGCGGGCAAAACCAAAGCACGGCCGTGCCCTCGACCGTGTTTTGCCCAGAATCGGGTTTTTTAACCCTAATTCGAGCCAAAGGAGAGGGAGAGTTGGGTTTTGGATCCCAAACACCCAAAGGACGAACCAACGAGAGAGAGAGAGAGGGTGATTTGAGGGCATTCTTGGAGTGGAATTGGAGGATTTATTTGCCTTGGATAATCCAGGAACAAGCCCGGACTTGAAGACTGATCATCTAAAGATTCTTACTGCAGTCTCTCTCTTCTCTATGGAGTAACTTCCCTTCACTTAGGTTTTGAGGAACCCTATCTATGTTTGTTTAATGGGAGGATTGTATGAGTACTCTGACTTGATAATCTTGAGTTCATATTCAATCTATGCATGTTTTCATGATTCAATGCTGATGTAGTCGAGATTATTGATTCTGCTTTGATCCTATGAGAGGGAATACCTGATTAGGTCAATAGAGCACCATAGATTGATAGTAGTGGATCGATTGCTTTAGTCGAGGGTTGATTCACTGCTTTGTATCGATTGAGAACCTCTTTCGATAGAGGGAGTCTAGTTCAGAACGCCTTGATCAGTTGTTCTAGAGAAGGATACGTCCCTCTAGGCAATTGACTCAAGAGGGCCTTGTTCCTTTAGTCGAGACTCAAGGTCTAGTCAAGGATTCTCCGCATTGTGAATGAAAGTGAAACAAGTTAGAAATCATCAATCGTTAGTCTGGCTAGTGGCTAGGGGGAATCATACCTAAGTAAGTTCCCAACCTGTAATTAGATTAACTTTAACTATAGTTTGCTAGAGTAGTTTTAGTTCTTTCATCTTAATCTGGTGTGCTAAATAATAAACTGAAGCTGAGTAATAGTAACTCTAGAGACCCGTGGATTCGATATTTATCACTTGAGCCACTATACTGCAGTCCCTTCCATTGATTACACTTGGCCATTGTTAGGTGTTGTGTCGTAGCGAGTCACCACCTAAGTTACATGATTTGGTGAAGAATCTAGGGTGGAGGGGTTTCTTTGAGCACCGCAGACCAGATTCCTCTCATGTTTGTCCTCTAGTTGTGAAGTTTTTCTATCAAAACCTTTAAAGTGATACATCCCCTTCGAATGGTCCTATTATAACTTCTGAGATCAATGGTGAAGTAGTTCGTTTTAACCCCTCCCTTTTGGCTGCAACCCTAAATCTATCTTGCGAAGATTTTGCTCTGAGAGACCTAGATGATTATGATTCTGGCCCAGACCTTGAGGATCTTATTGTAGGGATCATTTATTCATCTGTTCTTACTGAGCCCCTAAAATTTCTTCATTGGCTTATCTCTAATTTTTTCTCCCTCGCTTGCATCATCATCATGTTTTGTTGAAACTCAATATTTTCGTCCTTGATCGTGACACTAAAGGGATTAAGTTTAGCCTCCCCTCCCTGTCCCTGATGTGCCATAATATGCTTTAGTTTGTCCCCTGTATTGAAGACCATAGTGTAGGCCTTTCATATGGTACCCTAGTCACCAAGTTTATTGAGGCATCTAGTGTTAGGACCCTCCTGATGATTATGTGTTCTCCAACTCCAAGTCTGCCACCATTAGTGTGTTTCGTGTGATGAAATTAAGCAACACCTAAGATGCTCGTCGAGATCGAATTCATGATGCGGAGGAGGACGCACCAGACAAACGTCTTCGGATTAGTGCAGGACCCTATGAAAATGTGCTTGATGTAATGCTTGGCATTGATGATGAATCTAATGGTGGTGAAGGTTTCTTTGTTAGTGATTATCGTTAGCGGTAGAGAGAGGGATGCTAGGGCTGGTTTAGTGAGGGAGCACAAAGGAGATGAAGAAGAAGAAAAAGTGTGTTTGTTTAGTGCTATGCATTTCAGTTTTGATTTATAAATCTATACGTGAAGAATGGTAGTCTTGTTTATATTTTTGTGAACAATGATGGTTTCGTTAATGTTTGAATTGGTGTGTGTGGTATGTTGAATAATGTTTGTTTCATACACCAAAACAATGAGTTGTGTTTCTCTATAAAACTTACCACACACCCCACAACTCACCTTATGCATCCCACAATATTTTCTTCGGACACCATAACAACGGGTTATGTTTCTCTATAAAACTTACCACACACCTCACAAGTGTTCTGATGCAGCCCACAATATTTTTTTTTTTTGGATACCATAACATGTGAGTGAGAAAGAGTCTAGTCCACTTAGCTAAGCTGAGTTGTCCCCTCATTTATTCTTTTTAGTTCCCAAACAATATATTACTTTATTACCAAACCACTAATCGTACTTTAGTTCTTCTTCGGCTGTTGAAGCTCCCGTTCTCTCCACAAAACCAATGGCTTACTTCTATGATACTGAGTCCTAACTTCATTTGGTGCATTCCTTACCTTAGAAGTTCTGCGCAACTTACGCTCCTCGGGGAGGGTTCCAGTTCTTTGGTTCAGATGTGCGAATGTTGGAGGAGTATGAGTTCATTTCCCTCTCTTTTTCCTTTCGAGGTACGTGCACTTGTTACCAATCTTAGGTGTGAGAGTTTTTTGAGGCTAGAATAGCAAATCCCTGCCACTTCTGCCCCATTGTTGTCCGATTGTTTTTTTTTTCAATCTTGTGAAATGAGGGTATACGGGTTATGGTCCATACTTCGTTTCTAAGTTTCTGGGTGAAGAGGTTCGCTTTGATTGTAATTTTTTTTTTCTCTAAAAAACTGAATCTTCATTGCGGAGGTGTCTGCTTGATAAATGAGCAGGAGTACGTGAACTCTGAGTCAGATCTGCAGCTTCTAACAGAAGGGAACAAAGATATCTCTGTTCTAGATGATGATCTTTGTTTCATTCGCTGGCTTGTCACTCATTTTTTCCTCCCCGCCATTTTTTCCATAATGAGTTGCTTCCCCTTGATATATTTATCATGTCCCATGCATCCATAGGGAAAAGGTCAATCTTGCATCCATGATGTTTCTAAATATACTCAAATATGTCCCACATATTGATCACAAGGATGGTATTACTAGCATTCATTATGCCACTATGGTGACCAAGTTCCTCAACCAAGTTGGCGCGGATCTTGATGTTCATCCATCCTCTAGTGGCATTTTTGTGTGCTATCCTGTTGTCCCCATCATTGAAGATCTACGGGACCCAGTACGAGCTGCTCAACAACGGAGTCTGAAACACGAGATGCTTACTAGAATGGCGGAAACCAGGGATCAAGAAGACATGGATGGACAGAGGGATATGGGAGATGATGAAGATGATGATGAGGATGAGGATGATGATGATGATGATGATAATGGGGACGAGTATAAAGATTTAGATGTTCATGCAGATAGTGGATTTCGGCCTCGTCGACAAGTCTAGTGAAGTGGAAAGAGGAGGATGAGGAAGGAGATTGTTCATGCAGCAAATGGATCAATATGTTTTTTGTTTGTGTATGGACTAGTAGCCTAGTAGGTTATGTTTTCGTAATTTTCTAGATATCTTGTTCCTTTTTTACTTAGAACTTTATGTTTATGTAGTTCTTTTTTGGCTATTTAGCATATGGATGCGTTGTTTGTGTTTTTATAATGTTTTCAATCTGTGTTTTCTTTTGTTCATTTGTTTTATGTTGAACCGTGAATAGCGTTTGGTCCATCAATAAGGATATCCACAACCCTATGGCTAAAAGGGCAAGCCCCAATAAATCATCTTCAACATTAGGGAAATTTCTGAGATACTTTCTTTTTAGTTGAAATGGAAGAAAGTTACACTGAAATGAACTTCGTTCGTCAAAATTACAACGATTTTGAAAAATTTCGGAGATACCTTTTTTAGTTGAAATGGAAGAGCGTTCCGATTTTTTAATATATTTTTTTGGTTTCAAATAGCAATCGAATGGTCGATAGTTACAACGAAAGGAACTTCGTTAGTAAAAAGCACCCACAACAACACAAGTATATTCAATTTAAGTACTAAAACAAAGAAAAGCTAAAATAATTCCCACCATTTTAACTCTCACCATTACAAGGTGAACGGGACAACCGTCAGCACGCCATGTGACTTTTTATCATATTTTAGGGGTTAATTGGGGTTTAATTAAGGGATTAATTAGGGGTTTAATAGTGAAAAATATGTCTATTAAGGGTTAACTATGTGTTGATTTTATTGTTGTAATTTATGCGTTATGAAAAGTACAATTGATGCATTAACATGCTTTTGGTCTCAAAGTTATATTAACGTTATGTTACATTGGTTCACCTTTGTAGCCAAAGTATCAAACCGATAAAAAATTAGTTTGGTTAATGTCATGTGGAAAATGTATTAATGTGGTACAGAACAGTAAGCCAAGTTTGGAGATTGGAGAATCCTTCTCTTGTGCGGAAACAGATTTGGAGACCCGCCAAGCCCCTCGCGAGATGAAATTTGAATGAATCTGTCTCAAAATTGATATTGCGTCGTATGATTTGAGCCAACATAAATATAAAAGGAAGGGTAATTGCTACCAAAAGAGTCGGCGTGAGCTGCTAGGGTTTTTATTGCCGACAACCTACCATAGCGCAAAAAACAAAAAATGGAGGACGCTAAATTGGGTGAGACCCCTGAAGTCACTACTCAAATGGGAAGAATTTTTCAAAGCTGATTGGGAACCTAAAGACTATGAAGTCAAATGGAAAGCTCTGATTGATGTTTTCAATGTGGGTCACATCCAGTGGTTGAACCACATATTTGAACAACGAAGGGAATGGGGGTACCCATACATTCGCTCCAAGTTTTGTGCACGCTTGTCAACAACATCCAGATGCAATGGAATGAACAACCAACTCACAAAGTATATCGCAAATACTTACAATCTGCTTGAGTTCTTCATCCATTTTGATCGTTGGGCCACAGACATGAGGGAAATTGAGGTGCAAGCTGATTTCGAATCCATCCACCGAGATTGAACAATTACCTCCAATTTCCTACCCCCAACTTCAGAAGATTGCATTGAAATTATATACCAAGAAGCTGTTTTTCAAACTTAGTGACCAGATTGAAAAGTCATCAGACTGCACAAGGGTGGATAGTAAAAAAATCGGGAAACCAGCACCATAATAGTATAACAATGTAGGGAAAGGACAAGGCTTACAAGGTTACCTACACGAGTAACCCACTGGAGATGAATTATAGCTGTCAGTATTACAGTCATACGGCGTTACGTCAGACCAACGGATGCACAGCTTGCTGCTGCTACTGGAGGTGATGGTGGTGGTGATCCAAATAATGACAATAATGGTGTTGACCCAAATAATGGAGACGAGCCGAGACCATTCAATCGCCGAAAACCAAAATAGAAACGAAAAAGCTCATCAACCGTGCAGGATGCCAAACAGAGAGACGAGGATTATGATAAGGGCAACTCTTGTGTGCAGGTGGAGGTAATGCAGTCTCCTTATTGCGCATGTAACAATAAAACTTTGATCAACCATCTTCCTTACATACTTGGTGTGATTTTCATGTTACAGAAGAGGCTGCGGACTAGAGGGGATTTTGCGAAGAGGCAGCATCAATGAAGGTAGAGATTTAGAGAGGAAGCAACTGTAAAGGGAATTAGAGCTTTTCGAGATGGAGTTTAGTTGGTTATGAAGACTATTATTTTGGAGGGTTTTTTTATTGTGGTATGCTTTCAATGGATACTGGAATTGAGGGTGTTTTTTTATTGTGCTACGATTTAAATGGATAATATAACTCAGGGTATTAAGGGCATCACCAAGGTTATTTTGTGTTGCTCTATTTACAACAAACCCCTGGAAGTAGCTCACAAACACGAAAATCTACACCAGTAACAGTAAAACGTATCCACAATTTCATTGCTGCTTAATATAAAACCATCTCCAACAGCAAATTAGAATGATAGAATGCCATAATCACGATAAAACTACCCACAAATGCTAGAAGCAGAGCAATAATTGTACAAAAGAGAGGCACCCGTTTGCTTCGACCTCTCATCTGAACAATACAACTAAAACATGTCCACACAAACCCTGCAAGTAGCCCACAAACACAAGTAGGACATAATGTTCTGAAAAAACTTGATTTAACTACTAAAACTTTGCATATTTACCACTAACATCTTACTAAAACTTCATAAGCCATACTTTTGGCCTTCAAGTCTTCAAGTAACACATTTTCTGGATCCAGCAGCAGCTTCAGTGTGATAGCATCCCTTCTATCATTTATAACTTTTGCGCTCCTCCAGAACAATATGAAATCCTTTGGTGCTCCTTCCCAACACTTAGCCCAGTTCATCGTAATCACACCGCCACTTGTCCTACCTTTCTGTCTCACCACTTATGGACTTTCCCATGGAAACTCGTCGAAGTTGAATTTATCATCCATGGGTACCCCTATGTATGCAGTGGCATACTTGACGACCATTTGTCCAATGTCTTTGTACTCCTCCAAGCTCTTCGGGTTGATGCTTTCCAAGTATAGGAACATCTTATCCCTCAAATTGACAACAAATGTCATGTAGTGTCTATTCTTGAGATGCGGAAAGATCCATTGCCACTCAACAAAAATAAAACAACATGATATTGTTAAGACAACAAACAAAGAAATGTTCTGCACAATTAGAGCAATAGACAACATAAACAGAGATGGGTAAGAAACACCCACATAGCTGCACTTCTGGAAGTCGACATTGTGTGGGATCCAATTGTAGGTTGTAATTTCAAGGTCAATCTCATGAAAGTAATTTGGCTCTACCAACTCATAATCTGGGTCCCTTTTTATCTCATCAACTATTTCTTGTATTCGAAACTGCATAGTTAATAAGATTTAGTGTATCTGGGAAATGAATGGAACGAGTTGGATAATGCAGTTGTAGCCAGCAATCTGTGTAACTCACAGCTTTTGATGTGGAGAACACCCATCTTTTGATTGCCCCGTTCTTTGCTTGTTGACGATTGAGGTAGTCAGAGTAAGCATCAACAAAATCATTGGACACCTCACTCTTGTGTGCCATTATCCTTGTGTCCAACCTTGTCAGATAGAAGAAGGCGTCCGTACGACGGAAAAGGACCTCCTCCCTATATGAGACCAGAACAGAAACTTGATGCACTAGAATAGTAAAATGACAGAACATGTCCACTAAATGCATAGATACCAACAATTAACTTACTCATTAACTAGATCCCTCACGTATTTTAGGATAGCTTTGTGCAACTTTTCTATCCTGTTTAGTTTGTCCCATACCACTGATAAAGGGATATTATCTTTTCTTGGATTGCCTCTTCTTCCTTGGCTTCTTGATGTTTCAACCATGCTTTTGTTTCTTTGACATTGAACTCTTTCCATCAACCTTCTCATGCTCCTTCACATTAGTCTAGGAAAACAGAACAAACATACCATAAAAGTCACCATCCATACGTAACCAAGATGAAGCTTACCACAAAATCCTTCAGCTTTTCCTTTTGAAACCTTTGTAAGACCTAATTTCTTTCCCCATCCACTTTTCATCTGTGTGGTGATTCCCGTTGATATGTTGACCTTGTATTGACCTCAGGGCAGCTTGTACACCCTCTCCACAACATGCTCCGTTATCCTTAATTGACCATAACGAAGGAGATGGAAAGACCTAGTCTGGGCGTTGAAGTTGTTCACAACCCACAAGACAAACAAATTTGGCATCTTCGTGATCTTGACGTGTGCTACATGTTTTACGCCGAGAAATCTTATCTTCTCCAGCTTCTCTTCTGTTACATTCTTTGCTTCGATCGCCTCCGGTATCCTACTAGGGTTGCATCTGTTCCTTTTGTGATGTGGTAACGAGAACAACTCTTTTGCATTGTTCTTACCTTTTTGGCAGGTGCTCGTGCTATTGCTTTAATCTTGCGTGCCATACTCGCGCCTATGAGACGATAATTAAGATTTTCATGTAAAGCAGCACCATGATCAAAGTTTGATGAAAATAGTCAACATACCTAAACAAAGAAGTAAGAAGAGCTAAACCACATTGCAACGAAAAATGTACCTATGGTTTTTCGTGGAGACTGAAGGATTTAATGCTTATGTCGGCGAGCAGTCTCTGGAACAATGATTATTGTGGCTTAGTCTGCGCGGAGGCGGCTAGAGGCTATTTGGGTCGATGGTAGGATAGAAACCGTGATCAGGGGGAAGCGTGCTTGGGTTGTGGGGGGAAGTGGTTTAGTGTGGAGACTAGACACTGATCGATCATGTTATGTGATGGGCTGGTCCTCCGGTCCACAGATATTTGCTTGGCCCATTTGTGCCCATTTGTCCGGATCAAGCCCACACATGCAGCTAACTTAAGATTTTTTAGTACGAGGCGTTTTGATAAGGGGTGAATTTATCACTAATCATAAATAATTTCAAATCCAAATATTTACTAATCAAATAATAAGAGTATCCACTATATCATAAATTGGATGTTCATATACCAACCATCTCATCTTGGACTGACAAATACTTTTAGCTTTGAAAACTTGTATATGATATTTTATTAGTTATATCTTTGTTGTATGACCTGTATCCAAATGTTCTTCTACTAGATTGGTTCATGTAATGTGAGAATATGTGTGAATGGTAACGTATTATTTGAGTTACAAAGACAGTATTACCCACGGAAAACCGTGGATACCAAAAAACCCAATGAGTATGGACATTGTTTTTATTTTGTACCCGATTCTTATGTGGGTATGGGTATAGGTAAGACCC